CCCCACTTCCCTCTACTGCAGGAACGTTATAGTCTGAGATGTTCTTGGACATTTCTGTGTTATATTCTCACATCAGGTTCTGAATACTGATGGTGATGCCGTCTGTCCTTGATTCTTCAGTAGTCATAATATTAAGTTTGGAGGTTTTTTCTCCTTTTTTGTCCATTCCGTCTCGTTTCCCATTCATGATGACCCAGTACTGTAATTGCCATTGTCGAGGGAGACTGTAAAGAGGGTCACGAAGCCTCCAGTGCAACATCCTCCTTATTTGGATGCCTCCACTAGAGCTGCTGGGGAGGAGGGGGGGTAATGAAACAAAGCACACAACCAAGTCCCGCTTTACCCACTCACTTCCTGTGCTGAATCCCCAGTACACGTGTGCACGTCTCTTTTTAAATTTAAAAGTTTGTTTTCAGCTCGTAGATTTGTTTCACGAACTCCCAGATGACGTCTCGCCGCGTGTGCTCGCATTCTTTAATGTAGCGCAGTCCCCTTTTTTTCATTTGGGCATCGTTTCCTGCTTTTGAAATTCTGCACATTTCCAGTTTCCAATTCGAGGTCGGAGGTCGCGTCGATGCAAATTCGTCCCGGCTCTCGGAGCAGCGGGATTCACGCGCTCCTTGTCCGAGAGCGTTTGTGCCATTTGTCAAAGTTATTGCTGGACACGGAACAGGGTTGCTTCATTTCTGCAGATAAATCTGACGGCCTACTGATAAGATGTTTCTGTGGTTTCATGACGACGTCTGTTAGTGCTGTTTGAAATTGAATGCGGTCCTAACAGAGAGTAATACGACTCAGGATTTCACGTCTATTGATACAAACAATGCGCCAGAAAATAATAACTGTGGGCCTACAGATGCAGATAATAGGAATAAGCAGCAGTTGAAGCGGCGTGTGTCTGCTTCTGTTTATTCGCTGTGTGTGTGTCCTCCTCTGTTTAGGAGATGTACTCCAAAGGGATGATTCTGGCCAGCGCTATCAGGCAGGTGCGAGGACTGGGCGACAACAAGTTTGAGGTCGTCACCTCCCTGCGGACCTTCATATTCCGAGCTGAGAGAGAAGGTACAACAAGTGCTTCCTTTTCCTCTTTGTTCTGTGGTTTTGCATTCAGCTATGAGCCACACGTGCCGTTCTTTCTGTTTGTCACTCTGACCGGCTGATTCCCCGTCTAGCCTTGTTTTTCCTCCCTCGCTCGCCCCTGTTTCCCCGCCTCTCCCCCCCTCCCTTCCTGTTTGTCTCTTTCTTCTCCTACCTCACCATCTGAATATCTGAATGCTTCCGTGACAATCTTCTGTCTCACCTCCTTTTCCTCTATTTTCTCTCTCTTCCTTCTCTAACACGCTCTCTCTCTCTCTGCAGTTTCTTTCTCCTCATACTCATTTTCAGTTTTATTAGGCTCATTTGTATGACTGTGAATCCTTTTGCAAAGCACCCCTGTGTAAAGAAATGGTTGTATACATTTATTTTCAGTCTTTAAAGACAGATATGAAAGGATCAAGATCCATTTAATGTCTGTGAGTTAGGTACAGCGATGTGGCGTTTAGCCTCGCCTAGCATGAAGATTAATGCTGCGTTCCAGTTGCCTCGCAAGTCGGATGTTGGGACTGGGAGTGACACCACTCCCGAGGTGAGCTTTTTCCAGTGGTAGAATTGGAAAAGCAAGGAAAAATGGGATTTGTTTTGCTCCTTAGCAACGTAGAGCCATTCATATGTCACTAGAAAACCAGCACAGTGCTTGGTTTTTGTTTCTTGTGCTTAAAAACATCACTGCTGCCTCTTCATGGACAGAGCACAGTCAGTGCTCTGGATACATCTTATTTAGCAAGTCACAAATACATAACAGTGGCTGTACAAACTGCAAGTTTGACAGTTGTGTATGTGTGCACTGGATTGGATTGTGAAGTCGGGATTGGTGGGACTGCCTTGACTTTCCAGCTCGGAAATCCAACCTGAGGGGGTGTTCCAGTTGAAAATTCTGACTGGGAACTTGCAAGTGCATAATTTTGAAGACCAAGATCAATATTTAGTGATTTAAAATTCATATATTGCTGGAGACAAATTGATTTCTGTAACATTTGTTATATTGAGTTCTTTACTTACTCATTTAAACTGAGTCTGCTCAGATCAGCTGTTGTGTTTCTGGTGTTCCAAACACATGTAGCCAACTGGGAAACTGCAGAGCGTCCCTGGTGGACGAACTTTCTCCTTTGGATTTTTAATTTCTAAACTTCCTAAACTTTCATTTATTGGCCTTTTTGCTAATTCACATATATTGGGAAATAGTAAAATTGGCCAATATATCAGCACCGCTCGAGTTTACTGTAGCAGAACGGCTGGTGAAAATTACTGAAGGGGATTCTGCTCTAAATTTATACTTAGTGTTAGTATGTGTAGGCTGATTAAAGCCATGTTTACAACTCGTGATCACTGGGCCGCAGAGAGGGAAAATGTCAGCATTGTAGCTGAACTTTAAGTGGAAAAGATGTTGCGTGCCATCTGTGACAACAGATATTGATATATAGATATATATAGGACCAGCGGCGGGTTGCAAGGTGGCTTGGAGAAAAAAAAGCAGTTTTATTATTGGCACCTTTTTTGAGATTTTCTATTTGATTGCTTATAAGTGTGTTAAAGTTTCCATGTTAGCGAGTCTGCTGCAGTTGTGCTTCAGTGCTTCAAGTGATGGAAATGTTATCATCAGAGGGTGACGAGTGTTTCGTGATCGCTTGTACCCGACTGTGGAGACTTTACGTTACAATACAGCTACTAGAACTATAGCAGGAGTGACTGCTTGGATGTGGAGTCTCCTGTCTCTCTGTAAACACCACTTTAGAAGGAAATCAGCTGATGTCTTCTGTCACTGACGTAAACCAATCTTTGGGGATTGGGACTTGGTTTGGTTGAGCTGCCATTACGCTTGAATAAGTGTTATTTTCTGTCCAGCTGAATTAATGAAAATTATGATCTGCCGATGAGTGTGCATGTGGTTATTAAAGAGGTCAGTATTGCAGGAATTCTGCTTAAATAACATCTTTCCTCCCTCTACTCTTCATCTTACTGTCACACACAAAACGCCGCACGAGTTGTCTCCGCTTATCGTCTTTGAGGTGGAAGCTTTGTCTGTGTCGGCCTTAATGAGAGGGGAAGGAGACACTTTCTGCTCCTCACCTCCTGCCTGCTTGATGGCAGTGTGTTAGGCAGCGCAGGTCAGACAGCTCATTCACTAAATGAGGGTCTGTTTCTGGGGTCAGATGCTGGCTGCCCTTTGATTCATGGGAATAAGTTAGATTGCAGAAATCAAGCTCTGCGTGGTTATGGCATTGAGTGGTACAGTGTAAATACGTGAGAGCAGGCAGAGCTGAAAGATCTTAATCGACCGGGTCACCGAGACCTCAGCGCGTGTTTGTGACACGCTGACATCTGAGACAAGAATAGAAACCTCAATATTTGACTTGCTAATAGTCATTATTGAGGATCACCTTATTGCTTTTGAAGAGCTCTACTGGTCTTTTAATGGCAGCATAATACTGGAGCAGACATTAAGCATCAGGCCAGGCCTTGCACAAAATCTAACTTTTACTCTGGTATTCTGTCAGTTTAATGGTGACCAAGGCATAGGAATAACAAGTACTACATACAGTTATTCATTAATGGAAACCCGTATTGAAACGTTTAATGGATAATTATTTATGTAAAGAAGCATTTCATTTTAAGTCTGAGCAGAAATTGTAAAAACACCCAGCATTCGTGTGGATCTGTGTAAAATGTCAGCTGAAGACGATAAAGGGACTTAATGGGACAGAAATGAACATCTCCCGTTATTTGCTCTTTAACCAAAATGCATACAAATCATTGTGAGGAGTACGTGCAGATAATAAGTGAAGAAGGTCATTCCTTTAGAAAACACGACAGGTTGGGAGGACTTTTGAAAAGCTAAAACCTTTCGATGGTTCCCAAAGTGTTTGTACTTGACACCATTCTTGTCGAGAAGAGCGTCATTTGTGAAGTCTCAGCACTCAAAGCCGTACTAATCAGTGCTTGTATGGAATTAATTAGCACCAAACACTTTTGTAAAATGTTATACTGTCTCAACTAAGCGTTTTAGCCTCTTTCAGCTAATTGTTTTTTTTGTCTTGCAGTGTGCGGTTTTCCCGTTCAGCAGCTAAAGAGAAAAAGATTGTGTAGGGATGCAAATGTAGCTTGATTTAGACGCAAAATTGCCAAAGTTGATGATGCTGGTTTGTGTTTCTTCATTTTATTTAGGTTTATCCTCATTCTCCAAAATGTACCAGAGGAAACAAAGAAATGTTCATTTTGAAGAATAACCTTTGAATATTAGCCAGTGAAGACCTGATGTAACAAAAAGAGGTAACCATCAGCTACTGCCATGGAGAAAAGTCATTAAGGATGCAGACAGGAACAGACAAGAAGGCTGATTTTGGCCAGTACTGTTTTTTGTTTGATATACGGGTGCATTTTCAGCAAAGCTGAGCAAAAATAAAGTGAAGTATTAGTGTTTCATTATCACCTTCACAGAACCAAACAAACGTGGGAAAAATATGCAAACTCCCTGGGTAGACGGTAGATTCGAACCCAGGACTTTCTTGCTGTGAGGCTTCAATGCTAACTGCTGCTCTACTGTGTTACCAGAATATTTGATAAGTTAAATACAGCAAAAATGGTTGTGTATATATGTGTCTGATCAGCCGCTTGTTGTGTTTGTGGCCTTTCAAACAGTTGTTGCCAGTTGTGGTGGACAAATTATGAAATCTAGGCTCATGGTGGAAGTAACTTTTTAAGATTACATCTATGGGCTGTTATAAAGGCAGATACCGAGAGATTGGCAAATATTGACCAATAACATTGACCTGCCGATAAATTGGTCGGCTTCTAGAAGAATACAGCTTCACTCTCTGTTCCCCAGTCAGTTGACCTTAGCGAAATTAGCCACACAACACACCACAAAGGACTAAAAGCGTGTGTGCATGACACTTAAAGTGTCATGCACTCCAGCTAGCTAGCTAGCTAGCTAGCTAGCTAGCTGGAGAGCTTCTTAGCGTCTCTTCTTAGGAAGAGCTTCCTCGTTACTCTTTGAGGTTGTGGCCCATCAGTTATGTTACATCATCCCATTTTGGTAACAAAGGATTTCAGTTATATTGTGCACAGATGCACAAATGTTTGAGAACTAAAGTGCAATGTATGGAAGCTCAAAGAGGAGATTTTACACTATGCATATACGAGATATGAATAGTGCTGGCTGCTTTGTGGCTTCCACCGAGCAAAGATTTGCATCCAGTCTCGGGATTTTTTTGTTTTTGCTTCACCTCTAGCTCGTAAAAAAACAACAACTTGCCCTTCAAAAACTTTTTTCATTTTTTCCCCCTACTCTGAGGACCGAGGGTGAACGACAACCCCTCCCCTCTCTGTTGATTCAGCGCATCATCATATCGATGACTGCCAGCTTTTTTTCTTTTCTTTTGTTTGGTCCGTTTATGAGTCGCGGGTCCTCGATGGCATCATTTATCAGGCTGTCTGATCGTCATACGTCACGCTCAGTCGTCTTGACAAGAGCTGTGAAGGGGAGAGGGCTGTCTGATTTGGAGGTGGCCTCTGACCGCTTGGGAACAGTCGGATGGCTCTCGCGAAGGTGGCGCCTGCCATCAAGAGACGAGTCTGTGAGGAGAAATGAGAGAGAGGGAGAAAGGAGGATAAAACTTGGCCTCATCACCTCATGCATCTTTAAACAGGCCCACTCGCCTTGTGGCGGAGAGTCATCAATCTTTGGGGAAACACATGAAAAAGAAGGAGACACGAGCAGACAGAGGGAAAGAGAAGGAGTTGGTTAGTGAAGTGGAGTTAAGGAGTTGCTGGGCCGATGCAGGTGGGGGCGAGAGCGGGGAGAAAATGATGGAGTGATGGTCGGAGGAGTGTGCGAGAGTGGTTAAAGGAATCCAAAAGGCATAGAAGAAGAGGGAGGAAGAGCAACAAGGGGAAGAAAGGGATTAGGCGAGGAAGTGGCAGGAGTGGATAGTGCAAGAAGCAGACATGCAATCTCGATATTT